TGCAAGGGGAGAGAGACAAAGGTGAGAGCAAAATGTATATGTGAGAGAGTGGGAGGGAGCATGAGAGACAGCTGGACAGATGTGCGTGAGAAGAAGATCTCTGTGGGAGCTGGATGGAGTGCGCGCACGCACACACACACACTCATACACACCCACACACTCGCCTCTGCCACAGGTGCTGTCCATTTAGAAAAACAACACTTCAAAGTAAATACTTTAACAAAGAACAGAGAGAGAGGGACAGCGTTCCTGAACTGCTGCCGTGAGAACAGAGTAACGCTGCTGTCAGCGTCCCCTACAGGCCACACTGTACATTACAGCCCCAATGCAAAAGAACAAAAGTCTAGAGCTGAGGCTATGATCTGCTACAAAGAGGAGTCGAAGAGGTTGTGGCAGTGTGCAGTGTCTTGTGTTTTAGTTTGAATGAACATCTGGCACTTGTGTCTAGAGGTGAAAATGCACAAATGTACAGCGCAAATAAATAAAGTATAGTAGGTCTGACTAAACATTTTCAGGCATCTGAATGTGTTCATACTGGTTTTATAGTGCTCTCACCCTCCTACATTTCCTTATGTCACACAGCTGTTTGGTTCTTTATGTTTGTTGTTACAAGTTGACAAAAAAAGCCATAAACCGTAAAAATGGAAAATGCTACTGTTGCCTAGCTGAAACATCATTAAGCCTTTGGAAACTCTATAACGATCCTTCATTTGCTTCAGCTGTGATGCATATATAAACCCCAACCATGAAGGTTTTCAAGGTGAGTAGCAATCATGGGAAAGACAAAGGACCTTCCACAAAAGCTGAGAGAGGAGATTATTTCATTACATCTGAAGGGCCTTGGGTATAAGAAGATTTCCAAAAGATTTAACATTCCAAGAGACACCATTGGGAGCATTATAAGGAAGTTTAAAACTTGTGGAACAGCTGCAAACCTGCCTGGCCGTGGAAGAAAGCCCATAATTTCATCAAGGGCCCTTAGCAACCTAGTCAGGACAGCTAAGAAAAACCGTCGTGTGACTGCAAGACAGCTACAGGATGACATGATGAAGGCTGGTACAAGTGCTTCAGTGGCAACTATAAGATGTGCACTGAATAAACAAGGACTTCATGGCCGGACCCCAAGACGCACTACACTATTGACCACAAGGAACATCAACAGTCGACTAGAATATGCCAGGAGGAATTTGGATAAGACTACCGAGTTCTGGGAGACAGTTCTATGGACTGATGAAACCAAACTGGAACTTTTTGGTAATTTGGACCAATGGTATGTCTGGTGTGCAAAAGGCCAGGCTTATGACCAGAAGAATACCATCCCCATAGTCAAGCACTGAGGTGGGTCATTGATGATGTGGGGCGGTTGTTCTGCGGCAGGAACTGTCAATCTTTATCGTGTACCTGGCATCATGGATTCCCAGACATACCAGGTCATTTTAAAGAAGAACGTGATGCCTTCTGTTGACAAATTAAACCTCGTTGATCATTGGATTTTCCAGCACGACAATGATCCCAAGCACACCTTCAAGTCAACCAAAAGTAGGTTGGGGAAAAGATCCTGGACCGGATTTAAATCCAATTGAAAATATTTGATGGGATTTGAAGAAGGCAGTTGCAGCACGGAAGCCGTCAAACATCACTGAGCTAGAGGCTTTTGCACTTGAAGAATGGGCAAAGGTTCCAATCTAGAGGTGTAAGAAGCGTGTCAGCACTTATCGAAAACATTTGTTAGAAGTTATAAAAACTAAAGGACGCTCCACAAGGTACTGAAGCTGGGGGTTGAATAATACTGCACATGTTTATGTGTTACAAGAGTTACAATTTTCATTTGAACTTCAAAGTTAAGTCAACTTCTGTTGTCAAAATAACTCAAATATGTATCAATAAATATTTTTTGTTATTTCAAAGGGGTTTTTTTGCATTTATTTTCATTATCTTTCATCAACATCACTATAATGTCTTTTGAGGTGAGGGGGTTGAATATTTGTGATTGCAACTAAGCACACAGTGAAAATGCTTCTTTTCACTGCACAACTTAAATGTTTTTGGAAAAAAAAAAAACCCAATTATTTTTGTTTTTTCAAAAAACAATTTTGTAAAGTACGAACACACCCTCCGGTCCCCCTTCTTAAAAAGAGTGCCTCAGATTAATACACTTTTTTCAAATGTAACTGGGACTGATGTCACTTTTTAAGTTCTTCCGTGTATTTTGCAGCAAAGGCCTTCCTGGCAGAGCTCTATACCATGATGAAGAAGAATAATGAAGAAGCATTATTGTTTTAAAGAAAAAACTGTTTAATGGACTCCTACATCAAGCTGAATTAAAGAAAAACCCGGGTTCAAGAACTTTAACCATGACCATCATTTCTCATGTTTGCAGCACTATGCTAGTTTCTCGTGCTATGCATGCTGCACCGTCACCCAGTGCAGCAGTGTGGCTTACTGGCATATTTTTAATAGTTTTGGACAAGATGGAGGTCTACAGCACAGAGGAACAAGCTAAACCAGGGTTAGGACTTACAGACATTACAGTGAGTACACAAAACTCAGTGCTGATTTTAGTCCCTATATGGGATTTGTGGAAAATCACTGGCCTTATCGTCTAAAAATCGTTATTTTCACTAAGGATGATATTTACTGGTATTAATGCGACTTCTGTGATGTGCCTCCAACCAATGACATTACCCTTACACCCATCACTACAGTATAAAAACATGCTCTCAGGTCCTACCATGAGGGAGTGTCTGTTGGCCGACAGCAGTCCTGTCCCATACCCGCTGCCCAGAGCGCCCATGGCGCCATTGTGCGTATGTGCGGCCCCGATGAGGCTGTGCATATCACCGTGCCCGCTGGTCATACCCGTCGACGGTCCCACTGCGTGGCTTCGCAGCACATGGATGGCATCATCCAAACGCTCCAGCCGGTCCTCAATACGACTTTGCTGCAGAATGAAGGGATGGAAAATGCATTTTAAATACTTTAAACACTATAAACATATGTGTTCATCTCTACAGAAGTGT